TGATTCACTGGAACTTATGTCACAAGTACCACCTGCCAGCAGCAAAGAATTAGTTGCATCATAAACCGGCAAGGGTCGTGGAAAATGAACATGCAGAAATACTGCGGGACTTTCGAATCCAGACTAACAAAGTTTTGGAACACAACATGCCAGACATCACGATTGTGGAAAAGAAAAAAGTCTGGATTATTGATGTCGCCATATCAGGTGACAGTTGCATTGAGAGAAAAAAACAGGAAAAACTCAGCCACTATCAAGACCTCAAAATTGAACTGCAAAGTCTCTGGCATAAACCAATAGAGGTGGTCCCAGTGGTCATCGGCACACTGGGAGCCATGCCAAAAGATCTCAGCTGGCATTTGGAAAAAATGAACATTGACAAAATCATGATCTGTCAACTGCAAAAGGCCACCTTACTTAGATCTGCACGCATCATTTGAAAATACACCACACAGTCCTAGACGCTTGGGACGTTTTCTACTTGTGATTTTGTGATACGAAATCCAGCATATAGATCTCATTTGCTGTGACATACTGTGGTTTTGTGTCAGAATAATAATAATAATAATAATAATAATAATAATAATAATAATAATACAGAATCAGATATGCCAGTTCTGTTTCCATATTCTCACTTGGGAGACAGGTACATAAAAACACCTACTACTTCAATACCCATGGTTGCATTCTATATAATCCTGAGATTTGTAGTTTCATGAGGTATTTAGAATTTTCTGCCAGAGAGATTTGGTACCTCCTGAAAAAGCAGATGGCAGGACTCTGTAGGATGCAACTATGGCAGTTAAAAGGAACCCAATTTCCCATGTGAAAGACCACTGTATGTGTGTGAAAATCATGAACATGTAGGTTCTTCTTGTATGCACAAGAGCCTCATTTTCCCCGTATAATTCCAAATGACTTGTCTTTACATGCCAGTGAGTATATGGAGGTTAGGAGGAGGGATAGTGGTGCAATCTCCTTTTCTTGTATGTGTTTGATCTACATCATGTGATACAGCCTGAACTAGTTCAGGTCATCTGATAGAAGATTACTCATAGAAACAGCTGATTAGATTACTAGTCTGAGCATAAAATCAAGTGGGTCATTAAACCTCAGTCCTCAAATGTTCAGCTGTGGATCTGCATGGTCCTTTGGGTTGTCACAACTCAGGGCATTGGCTCAAGCAAAGCTTTCCAAACGGTGTGTCACGACACATTAGTGTGCTGATTGCATTGTATAGGTGTCTTGCACTCTGGATCTGTGTGAAATAACCAAGAAAGCATATATTTTTAAAGATAGAAATGAAATATTTTAATGAGAAATGTCGTGCCCCCTTACATTTCATTGTCACAACTTATGTATATCTATGTCTATATTTATGACCCCGTCCCTTTACGAGTTTCTCCCCCACAAACAATCTGCTCCATCCCTATCTCATCCTGATTTTAGTATTTTTAGTATCTTAGTTTTTATCTTGCACATGTGGCCCGCTCATTGTTATGTTATTTTATTTTACTGTGTATGATTTTGCTTTATCGTCTTTGTACTCATATGTTGTATGTATTTTACTGAGTTGTTATTGTGTTTTGGTTTCACTTTATTGTAATATGCTGTTGGGCTTGGCCTCATGTAAGCCGCCCCTAGTCCCCATTGGGGAGATGGTGGCGGGGTATTAAATAAAGATTATTATTATTATTATTATTATTATTATTATTATTATGTGTCCATTTATCTTATAAGTGATAGATTTAGAACCTGGTTTACTAGTAAAACCAAATTACTGTGTCACAAAATGATGCATGAATAAAAATGGCACGTCACAAATGTGAAATGTTTGGAAAACTTTGGGTTAGAGCAGTGGTTCTCAATCTGTGGGTCCACAGGTGTTTTGGCCTACAATTCCCAGAAATCCCAGCCAGTTTACCAGCTGTTAGGATTTTTGGGAGTTGAAGGCCAAAACATCTGGGGTCCCACAGGTTGAGAACTACTGGATTGGAAGTTTGAGGAACTGGTATGTTTCCTTACGTCTCCACACAGAGAGATAAATCTTAGGATGAACAGGACTAGAGGAGGAGAATGGGATTGTGGTGGGGGCATTATATGTATTTTGACTTTAAAGCTTGGGCTGCCATCTCTCTCCAGCTTGTGGCAGAATTTTCTGGCTCAGTATAAAAGTACTTGCATGTGTATTGCACATACCGATACACCAAAAAAAAAAAAAAAACCAAGTGGGAGGGGTGCACTCATGCCTATCATGCCATTTGGATCAGGGCAGGAATGGAGCACCAATGTTGCCTGGCAAACCTATTTGTGGTACATGTGCAGACAGGAGTGGTGGAAGGCTTTGAAGGAACTCTCCCTAGCACTGGCAGTGAGCCCTCCATGTGCCCGAGTAACAGGGTAGCACCTGGAAGAGCTGCCCCATCTGTTATATATGGTAGGTAAAGTCATGCAGGATGCAAGTCCTAGCAGGAATGGCTGCAGCTGTTGGATTCATTTTGAAGCTTGCTGAAAAGGAAAATGGCATTTTTTCCTGGCTTTGCCTTGTGATGTAACCTTGTTAGATGGATTTTCCCCCAAATCTGTACCTGGTAGCACTTCTGACCCTCCTTTGTGACCTTGCGAAGATTCACCTGCCTGCTACTCCATTTTTGGCCGTAAATCTCAAAGAAAACCTACTCTCCTTTCATATAAATAGCTAGCCATCCCCTGCCACACATTGCTGTGGCCCAGTCTGGTGATCTGGAAAAATAAAGTAATGAGAAAGTGTTGGTTTCTAATATATGTAATTTCTTTATGCTTGTGGGTAAACACTATTTCTTGTTGTTTCTTTGTCAGTGTTGATGTGGAGATTGTCTGGTTTGCCTACTCTGGAACATGCAACATATAATTGTCCCTCTTTAGGGGTTCCTTTCATATCTATGATACTATATCTGTCATATACATGTGTGTGTGAATCATATCTATCTATCTATATCTATGGCTGGATGGCTCTTTGTCAGGAGGGCTTTGATTATGTTTTCTTGCCCTGGTGAAGGGAGTTGGACTGGATGGCCTTAAGGCAGCATATCTCAACCTGAGGGTCAGGACCCCGGGGGGGGGAGGGGGTGTCAGAAGGGTCGCCAAAAACCACCAGAAAGCACAGTATTTTCTGTTGGTCATGGGGGTTCTGTGTGGGAAGTTTGGCCCAGTGACAACAACTCCCAAATGTCAAGGTCTTTTCCCCCCCAAGCACCATCTGTGTTTATATTTGGACATATGGAGTATCCATACCAAGTTTGGTCTAGATCCTTCATTGTTTGAGTCTTCAGTGCTCTCTGGATGTAGGTAAACTACAACTCTCAAACTCAAAGTCAATGCCTACCAAACCCTTCTAGTGTTTTCTGTTGGTCATGGGAGTCCTGTGTGCTAAGGTTGGTTCAATTCCATTATTGGTGGAGTTCGGAATGCTCTTTGATTGTAGGCTAACTATAAATCCGAGTAACTACAACTCCCAAATGACAAAATCATTTTTTTGAGTGATGGTCACTCCTTGGGTTAGTAGGTGTCTTGTGGCCAAATTTGGCAGCAATTCGCCCAGGGGATTTTGAGTTATGATGTCACTCAAAACGAACCGCGCATTTAGATAGATAGATAGACAGATGGATAATGTGCACTGGTAGAATAGCATATCAGTGGTAAAGAGTATGACCTAATCTTCTTGGTGGCATGCTGAAGTTCTCATTTATGTGCAGGAGCATTCAAGCATGCAACCACCTCCCTCCTCTCTGATGTGGTACAATCCAGGCCACATGCCAGGTCTACGGGTTTAGTTTTGCAAACAGCGAGATAACAGTTATGGCATGGAGTTGCTGACAAAGTTCTTATGAAATCCTGTTGTTATTTCTTCCCCAGAACCAATGATAGATTTGTTCTATAGCAACAAATCTCAGGTTGCTTGGCATGCCTTATCACTAAATTGTGGCATGCTACAGAATGAATGACAGGACTGGTTCTATAGCGCACACATACGTTAAGCAGTGGCACAAGGCAATGGCTGTTCTTCTGATACATGATCAGGAACAGCCACTAGAATCTCTGTTTTAAGACAAAGCCAGTCGTTTTTGCTTTGCAGGTTTCCAGGGGATTATACATGCACCTTATTTAGTCACTCCTCCCTTCCCATTTCCCCCCGCAGAACTATATTCCCACTTCGATCACATCCAAATCACACCTTATGATGGCTTCCTGTGTACATGTGCAGCTGCATTTCATAGAATCATAGAATTGGAAGAGACCTCATGGGCCATCCAGTCCAATCCCCTGCCAAGATGCAGGAAAATTGCATTCAAAACACCCCCGACAGATGGCCATCGAGCCTCTGTTTAAAAACTTCCAAAGAAGGAGCCTCTACCACACTCCGAGACAGATAGTTCCACTGCTGAACAGCTCTCACAGTCAGGAAGTTCTTCCTCATGTTATATGCTGCCCTTCTCACTCCCCCCCCCCCCCTAAATTCTCAGGGTGGTCCGGGAGAAGGCCTTACTGGTACATTATTTAAACTGTTATGTTTATTCATATCATGATCTGATCACGCTCAATATATCCCATATACATGGGGGTATTGGGATAATGATACAAAAGGTTTGCTAGGGTAGATCCTTACCCCCCCCCCCCCCCCGAATCAAACTCAGCCCCCGCACCCAATTCAAAATGCTGGCTACCAGCCTGGTAACGGTGTTATTGATTCTAAAATTTCCTTGGCACCTACTTATCTATTTGCAGGGATTGTCCCTCCCATTCCGTTCCCCTTGGTGATGCATCTAGTGTGCAGTCTGCAGTGCTAGACCAAAGAGATGCATCATATGTTTTGTGGATCTTGTCCCACCGCAGGTTCTGCATTGTGGTGCCCAAGCAGCAGGCCAGCTAGAAATGTGATCTTTCCTTCTCCAGCCTATGCTCCCTGCCCCCCGCCCCACCTCTACGCTCCCAAAGCTGTCATGTCTGGTTTTATCAGGCTTACGAGTAACACCAGATGCCCTTTCCTTGCTAGCTGGCAGCCTCTGGGGTGGTGTGGAAACATTGTCATCGTGACTTGATGTTCAAAAACAAAAAGAAAGAAAGGGGAGAAAAACAAAAGAAAAAAGAAGAGAGGAGGAAAGTAGTTGAGAAAAAGAGGAAAAGTCAGAGAAGGTGAAATATCAGACTCTGAACGGTAGGGCCAAAGTGGAGGGAGCCTAGCGCTTCGGTGCACCTGCCAGTGAACACCTTTGGCTGATCCACGTCTGGCTGTGTGTGTGTTTTGACCGGCTGTGATGTCAAGAGGAGGAGGTGTGGCCACCTTGGGGGCAGGTAGATAAAGGATTCAAACTAAACAGGATCCCCCAGTTCTGAGACACAAGGCGGCGGCAGAAACACTAGGGCCAGGTAAGCCGACTCTTTCCCTTTTTCTCCCCGCTTCTCAGTCTTGTTGCATACACTTTTCTCCTCCTTAGTCCAGGAATCAGAAAGGTTCCCATGAATGAAACAACTTAAATGCAAGGTGATCTGAAAGATCTATAGCCTGATCCTCTGCAGATTGACCTGGAAGTAAGATTCACTGGATTTGGTGGAGCCTGTTCCCAGCTGTATATGAATAAAAGTGTAAAAGTTTGGAATTTTGAAGTGTCCAAAACTTTGTTTTCAATTGCTTTCTACCTGCCTTCTTTTGTGTGCCTGCCACTCCCGGTCTTAACTTTATTTTCCCTTTGATACTAGTTTCAAAGCTGATTCCCCTCCCAGTTCTCTTTGTTTCCAGTAACTTTGTTTTTGGTTGTTTTGGTAAATACAGGACATAGTCATAGACATGGGTGAATAGGTTCCTGTACTTTATGTGATTTTGCGAAACCACAGATTATAATAAACCCTGTTGAAAGAAGCACTTCTTGTCCAAGATTATCATAGAACTAAACTGGCGGATCTAAAAAATGTCTAGGGATGATATATTTTATCAGACATGGATAAATAAAACCACAGATACCCATTCAGCAGATACAGGGTCATACTATATCAATATTTACCTACCTTGAGGTTCAAAACTACCTCGCTCCCTACCTCCCTTCTTTCTTTCTTTCTTTCTTTCTTTCTTTCTTTCTTTCTTTCTTTCTTTCTTTCTTTCTTTCTTTCTTTCTTTCTTTCTTCTCAGCTATTTTACCCTTTCTTGCTGTTCCCGTCATTTAAATTTCCTTCCCTACATTGCTGTTTGTACATTTAACAAGGAAATGAAAAGAGGAAACCCTGAACAAAAGAAAGTGTCCAGGATATCGTAATTCAAGGTAGTTTCATCTCTTTAAAAAAGGAAATTGTAATAGAATAGGGGCGGGAAAATGATGAGTAAGACTGCTGGAGCGACAAAAAAGTTTATTTCATTAACGTAATTCCTGGGGCAACAACTAATTTTACAAGAGAGCCACCCACACCTATTCATGGAGGAGGAAAGGTCTCTTAGTGGTTACTACTCAGATGTGCTTAATGGAACCTCCTACTATAGTAGCAGTGTACCTTTGAGCACCAGTTGCCATCAAAGAGAGCTGTTGCTTCCTGTCTTTTGTGTTACTTTCCTGGAGGCATCTGGTTGGGCACAGGAAGTTAGATTAGATGGAAGGAAGTGTAATCCTTAATGCTATGATTTAGTTCTGTGGTTCCATCCTACGGAAATTTGACATTTGCATTTTAGGGAGGAAGAGTTTGAATTTTCAGCAAGAGAACTCTACTGCCTCACCAAACTACAAGCCCCAGGTCAGGCATGTAGCCGGGGGGGGGGGGGGTTGCACCCCCCCCCCCAATTCTCATGGTGGTTCGCAAAAAGACCTTATTGGTGCATTATTTAAACTGTTATGTTTATTCACCATACTCAATATATCCCATATGCATGGGGGTATTGGGGTAATGATACAAAAGGTTTGCTAGGGTAGACCCTCTTTCACTCAGACTCAGCCCCCCCCCCCCCCCGAAACCCCCCCTGAAAAAACTCAGCCCCCCCCCCCCGAATCGAAATCCTGGCTACGGGCCTGCCCTGGGCTTCTATAGGTTGCAGCTGTGGCAGTTATAGTCAACCCTCCACATTCTTTGGGGATTGGGGCACAAGACCCCACAAAAGTGAAAAACTGCAAATATAAAAACCACTTAATTTTTTTTAACTGAGAGAACATGTATCTAGGAATTAGTATATTCTGGTCCGATTGCAGTGGTACTTATAATTAATTGATCACAGTCAGTTACAGGTATCTAGGAATTTCTAGGTCTTATAGCATGGCATTTGAATAGTCAAATCGGCAAATATGGAGGGTCAACAGCCAAGTGGAATCACAGCACTGTAACTGTATAGTATGAAAACTTCTGGTCTTTTCTTATAAGGTGACGCTGGGAGGCAGGGCTCACATTTTTCTTCCTTGTTGATTGGTTATATGCGACTGATTATGTTCTTCCCTATGCGCAGACACCTGGATTGAGACCTAGAAATTTAATAGTAGCCTTCACTGGGTTAGATTTAGCCACAAAGGCACCCAATGTAGCTTATATTTTTCTCTTCTCACCCCAATGAGTGTGAATCCACTAAACTAGACAAAAAGTTTTTAATTAACTTCATTTAAAAGTTTAAAAAGTTACATTAAAAGTCAAAAAAGTGAATCAAGAAAAAAATACAGAGCAGAAATAAAAAAATTGCCAAGAAAAACAAACAAAGAAAACAAAAATAAAAAATAGATGACCTCTCATCTGTCCTCACCTGGCCAAAAGAAAACAGCATTAGCTTTGCCCTCTAGGCCTCCCAATGTTGGCTCCTTTCTCAAACACCCTTCAAATTATTCTTCAAAGCTCAAAAATGGCAAGACCTTTTCTTCCTCCTGCAGAAAGTTAATAAAAAGTGTCCAGTCTTTCAAAAAAAAAAAAATCCAATGTCACTTCTTTTAGAAAACATATTGATTTGTCCATCTCGGCCAAGTCCTATCCTCTGTTGTTGGTGTCACTGAATTCTTCCATGTCTGCGCATAGAGCAATCTGACTGCTGTGGTCATGTATTGCAATAGTTTGTCATAGTCATTTGTATCGGTCAAACCAAGTAGAAAAAGCTCAGAGTTTAACTAGATATTTTCTGCCAAAACTTTCTGTCTTTGAATCCAATATTTCTTGGCATGTTTACATTACCACGTGTGGTAGATGGACCTCATTTGCTGATTATATTTCCAGCAAGTGTTGGAAACCTATTTAGACATCTAACTACCTTGTCACACAGCTGCTGAAAATGTCTCATGTCGCTCACCATGGGGCACGGGGAAGCTGCCGCCCCTTGCCTTGCATTGCTGGGCTCCTCCAGCAGCTGATCTCATGGGGGGAAGCGTGGTGCACGCATGGAGCATGCAGTTTTCCCCTATCAATGTCAATGGCAAGAGGGGAAGCCTTCCGTGTTGCTGCGGTGGTGGTGGTGGCATGCCGGTTCCACCTTCCTTCACTCACAGAGCTGGCACAACGTTGTCTGATGGGAGCTGGCTGGCTCTATGGGTGACCGGGGCTTGATCGGCGTATGCTACTGATTTTAGCCCCATATGATGATAGTTAGAAAGCTTTTCAGGAGTCTTATATCATATATATATCATTTATAAAAAACTAGCCATCTCCTGCCACGTGTTGCTGTGGCCTAGTCTGGTGATCTGGAAAATAAAGTAATGGGAAAGTGCTGGTTTCTAATATATGTAATTTCTTTATGCTTGTGGGTAAACAGTATTTCTTGTTGTTTCTTCGCCAGTGTTGATGTAGAGATTGTATGGTTTGCCTACTCTTGAACATGCAACATATTATTGTCCTTCTGTAGGGGTCCCTTTCAAATCTATGATACTATGCCTCAGTGTGTGTGAATCATATATATCTACCTATATCTATGGCTGGATGGCTCTTTGTCAGGAGGTCTTTGATTACGTTTTCTTGCCCTGATGAAGGGAATTGGACTGGATGGCCTTAAGTATTTTCTGTTGGTCATGGGGGTTCTGTGTTGGAAGTTTGCCCCAATTCTGTCGTTCGTGGGGTTCAGAAAGCTCTTTGATGGTAGGTAACTACAACTCCCAAATGTCAAGGTCTGTTTTCCCCAAACTCCATCTGTGTTCATATTTGGGCATATGGAATATTCGTGCCAGGTTTGGTCCAAATCTATCATTGTTTGAGTCCACAGTGATCTCTGGATGTAGGTGAACTACAACTCCAAAACCAAAGGACACTGCCCACCAAACCCTTCTAGTATTTTCTATTGGTCATGGGATGGTCACTCCTTGGGTTAGTAGGTGTCTTGTGGCCAAATTTGGCAGCAATTCATCCAGTGGTTTTTGAGTTATGTTAATCCCACAAATGAACATTACACTTTTATTTATATAGATATCTTTCAAATTAAGTTCTTGTGGGGGGTTTTTTTGGGCTATATGGTCATGTTCTAGAGGCATTTCTCCTGACGTTTCGCCTGCATCTATGGCAAGCATCCTCAGGGGTGAGGTTTGTTGGAACTGGGAAAAATGGGTGGGAATAAAAAAACTGGGAATAAACCCCTTTTTTTCCCAGTTCCAACAGACCTCACCTCTGAGGATGCTTGCCATAGATGCAGGCGAAACGTCAGGAGAAATGCCTCTAGAACATGGCCATATAGCCCAAAAAACCCACAAGAACTTAGTGATTCCAGCCATGAAAGCCTTCGACAATACATCTTTCAAATTATAACATAATGTAATTTTAACCCCCTGTTTCTCGTTTTCTCCCATTGGTCCAACGTTATATTCTGCCCAACATTTTGTGCCCACTTTGAACTAGACAAAATTGTTGATGTTGTTGTTATGTAACTTCAAGTTGTTTCTGACTTATGCAACTCCAAGGCAAACCTATCACAATGTTTTCTGCAGACAATATATGACCCACCAATGGGTTTCCATGGCCGAACAGGGAATCAAACCCTGGTCTGCAGAGTAATAGTCCAATGCACCAATGACACTGCCATGCTGACTTTCTACTTGACAAAATACACGAGAATAAACAAAATTCCCTTTCTGGATGAATGTCAAGATCTTTCAGGGGTTATCCCTCCATAATGTCAATGGGGTGGAGAATATGGAGATGCAGTAACTTGAATAATGACAGTTATCACTGTAGGTTGCTGTGTCACCATGTCCACTTGTGCCACAGCCAAAATAGATTGCTCCTGTAACATTTGCCAGAAATCCTAATATTGACTGAGGGGAGGATAGGGAACAAAGGAGGTGGGACCAGTAGGGATGGGAGATGCAGCCACCTCATCACTACGCACAATCTTTGTTCCATTTGTTTTGGAGGCTGTTCGAATCGATTTCTTGGATCTGCCAAAGTGTTCTTCCAAAAGGTTTTTTGTTGGTAAAAAAATATCGGGGTGTGATTTG